ACAAAAGACATATTTGGTATATTTTTTTAAATATAAAATCATAATACATAATGTGTTTGCACTGAAAAGTTATGGAGATGGTTAAATATTTGTATGACTATATCTGACTCAAGTCTTGACAAAAATGTTTTTTTTTATTAAATATATTAAAAACACTAAAATGACAAATATAAACTACAGAAAAGCTCAAATGCTTCCTTACAAATCCCCTTTGGTCCAAATGGTTCAGGTTAAAGTTTTTGTATAACGTTTCATTAGAGAACACTAAACTGTGTACTTTGACTAAGAACATGGACACAGTGCATAGTGTTATGACTATAGACTACATCGTGTACTTGTGTGTGGTGAGGGGTGGTAAGAGTTATTGTGCATTTATCATTATCGGGGTGAACTGGTCAATATATCGTGATATTGATTTTAGACCGTATGGCCAAAAGGTGAAAATGGCATACGCTAAAAAAAATGCAGATTTATAAAACCGTGTGCACGCACACCTTCAAGCAATTGTCCTTCATCACAGCTTCACCTCAGTTTGAGCACAAGGTCTCACCTCAGGTTCTGCCCTCTGCATGCCCACACTCAACCATAAACAGTCAATGCAAAGTACCTCATGAATGTTAAGATGTAATTAAATGAGTCAGCTGATCAATGTTAACAAAACCGATTGGCCAGCTCAGACACGCGCTCCGTCATGTGTCTGGAGGACAATGGATGCAGACTACTGCTTGCATGAACAAATTGTCCATAATTTACAGATTTTCCCTCATTTTGGAGGTATACAGATGTTTAGGGCAATCTCACAGATTTTTTTCAAAAACTCAGCTTCAAATTTTATTTGTCTCAGAGACTGTAGGACGTTAAAAACAATAGCTAAATTTAAATAACCTAACCATTGCCCCAAACAGGGAGGCCATAAAGGCAATGGATGGATGGAGATGTGTGATATTTTAAGAGTTAAATTGGCTCAGAAGCTCTTTTTTATTTCAAAGGTCCTTATGGCTCACCAGCAGAAGTATAAATAAAACTGTTAAAGCTTATGATAAAGTGGATCTAGAATCTAAGTTTGATTATGAAGTGAAATTATATATCTCAAATAGGTATTTTGACTAGTCAAAATATAATTAGAGATATCTTAAAAAACAAATATGACTAGTCATCATTCAATTTCAGGTAACTGGAATATAAGCATTGTGAATCCTATTTTATGTTAAAATGGCTTGCCATAAACTGTCTGTCATTCAACAGGGGTGGAGGCCACTGTGTCCAGTTGTCCCACACTTAAAATGCTTTTATTGTGAACATGACTGCCCTCTGTCAACAAAAGGGATTATCAGTGTACAATAGCCAATCATAAGACTGACAATTTCTGCACATGACCAGCAGTTTTGATTGTAATCATTAACTTGTTTACCCACCATGTGGAGGCACTGTTTATATGTCTGAGTTTACCTGAACTGTTCAGACTGAAGTTTCTTGGAAAAAGAGTTGAAATGGTTACATTAAGGAATCTGTCCAGAAAACTTACTGAAACTTTTTTTATTTTACCTGGATTACTGAGATGCAACAGGAAATTAAGGTTTGCATTTAAAGTATAATAAACATTTTGTACTAAAACATGATGCACTATCGAGAAAAGATGCAGCTGAAATTGATTGTATTTCTTATAACAGGGCCAACAACATCAAAACAAAAACAGCAGATTGACTCGGACTACACTGTGGCAGGAATTTTTCCATTTTTTTCAAAAGAAATAGTTGGTTTTCGGGGAGTTATAGACATACGAGTGAAATGATCCAACTCATTAAAGATGTTTTAGAGGAAAAAGCATGAAACAAAAATATAAATGCAACATGTAATAGAAATGTTGAAAAAAAAACCTGAGCTATTAACCAATTATCATTTTAACAAATACTATTTGCAATAAAGCTGTAGCGCTGCTCTGTTTCATCATTCTGCAGAATCGAAAAGTTCATGTGTGGCCACTCAATGTAAACTCAAAGTATTTTTTAAATGGTCAGGCAAAACAAGATTGTAGGGGTTTAATAAATATTTACATATTTGTTAAAGACATACTTTCCATACCATATGTCAGAAACAAATCAACAATATGATTTAAAAAACAAGTTAAGCAATTCAATATGGCCAAACAGATTTATTCATA